CATTCATCTCCATTGCTTTTGGGTAGAGGCAGAAATTGACAAATATCTTCAGAACAAGTAAAACAGAAATGATCTGCATAGCCAGAGAACAAAAGTGTGTTTTTGTAATATTATAAATCACTGTGCACAAGCAGCAGACATTTACTTAATTGAGTTTATATTCAGAACTTTGACAACCGGACAAACATCTGATGCAGTCGAAAGCTCCAGAACAGCTACTAAAGGGACCAAATTAAAAACCTTTCCTATCAATTTAAAATGACATACCCGTTTCTGTCTAGGATATGACCAACATAATTAAATGGTTCCTCCATCTCTCGTTATTTAGTTACTGCTGTTGTGGATTGTTCTCAGATATCAGTATCTGAAGACCTAAAACTAAAGTGCAAATCTATAAACAGCGGTGTTTTGTTTACCATGAGGCTGGACAGCTCCACCGCTGTTGGGCATCGTTGTGCTGACGGCGGGCGCTGCCGTTGCGTTGACGGCGGGCGCTGCCGTTGTGTTGACGGCGTTGCTGGCCGGGTCGGCGAGGTTCAGAGGACCGCTGGTCAGTGTGCGGTTGAAGGGGCCGATAGTAGCTGAACATTGACATGAGGTGGACAGAGCAGTGGGAGGTTACACACGTTCTCATGGACAGCCGTTAATTAAAGTCACAGCAAAATAAACATTTCCAGTTTGAAGGAGTAAATCCATCTGTACATCTGGAGAACAGAGGGCCAAGCTAAAAGAAGAAACGCAGTAAAGGTTATTTTTCCATTTAAGGTCCACTTGTTCTCATCTGTACATTAAATGTATACTAACATTTCTCTCCAATTTCAGAATTTTACAGTTACCTTCACAACCACTGATGCAAACCTTTATATAAAAAAAAAAAACCTATAAAAATCTAATTTCTCACGTGTGAAGCTGAAACCACAGAAATATTTTTACATGGAAAATAGTAAAATTGACTAATATAATAGTTTCAGCTGTATTTGTATATACTGTTTTTTAAATATATAACAAACTATATTTTAGAAGCCCTTCTTAAGTTTTGTACTCAAGTCTTACTTTGTAAAGTATCTAAAGCCGTCATTAACTGAGTAAACAGTTAAATATTTCCTTCTGAACTGTAATGAGAAGAAAGATAAAGGAAAATAAAGACTCAAGTACAGTACTTAAGTAAATGTATATAGTTACTTTCCAACACTAGAGAACATACAGTATTCTCCTATGATACTGTGTACTCAGGATGAAATACATGAATAAACAAATGCTGTGCAACTTTAAAATATGTATAGTTTTAAGAATTCAGGTTTCTACATGGAAATCCTGTTGTGAAGCAATCTTGTATATGAATGTACGCGTGTGTTACTGTGTCCACTTACTCCCGTTAGTAGGCCCACTCCCAAGGAGGATGGAGAAGGTGGTAACAGGGCTGCTTCTGCTGTTAGTGGCGTTCACACTTGTGATGTTGAACTCACACTTGATCACAGTTCCAGTCACCATGCCACGGATATCTGACACTAGCTAGAAAGGTTACGTGACATAAAGTAAGTTATGGTGCGGTAAAATAAGTTAAAGTTCCAGAAAAAAGCAAATGAAGTTTGCTCAAAAGTTCTTAGCATGATTTCTGCCACCCCAGACAACCTACTGAGAGAAATGGAAACTAAAACAGACACAAGTATTTGAAACGCATCGATGATAAACGTATAAATAAGTTTATGTGTTCTTATCATTTTATCTATTGTTGTTTCTAAGGCTGTGTAACTATAACTATTAAGTATCTGCTCAGTAAGAGACTTCATTAGACTTTTTAAATATTTGGATTTCTTTTTAGCATATGCAGTATAGACACTGAATCATCAGCATGTATGTAAATGTGCATTAGATTTTCTGTTAACCCCTTGTTTCATGAAACAAGTGCATTTCCTTACGCCAACATCTATACGACAGTAAATATGAGGCCTCACCTCCTCATTTGCGCTGAGCGTAGCGTCGGTGTTGTTCATGGTCATTGTCCTGAAGAAGAATGACCCGTTGCTCAAGCTGTTTTGAGCGCAAATGAAGAGCATGGTGGTACCCTGCAGAAAATAAATTTGTGATTAAAGGGTAATACAGCAACCTTGAAGTGACCACATGACAAATTCCAAAAGTCAGTGTCTTTGTCAAGGCTGGAAATAACAATGATTCAACAGTCGAGTTTAGTTTCCAACTCGTCCGTCTTGTTTTCTTTGTGCGTTTCTCTGCATTATCATTTTGCTTCCGCTTCCCTGTTGCATGCTTCTGTGTTCACGTCACATCATTTTAGAAACTCATTGCACAATATGCTTCAACACGTTTAAATATTCTGATTTGTTGCCGTGAATAATATTTTTAATTTATAGTCACTATAGGCGCAAAGAAGTTGTAATTTTTCTGTCCAGGTTTAACCTTTTACCACATAAAGTTTTGCCCATAGTCAGTTTTTTTTTGGGGGGGGTGTGTTACAGAAACATTGTTGAATGTTAGCAGTTTTTTAGTTAACAAAAAAAAAAAGCCACATTTCATGTTGAGGATGATATCACTGCTCCAAAGTAATTTCAATATCCAGTAATAAAGACATCCATTTGTTACTTTTCTGTGTAAACACAGAAGCCATATAGCACGTTGCCATCTTTAAACACATTTCACACTACGTCCCAATTCAAGTCCATGCGTTTATACAGAAAATATCACAATGGACTTAATGTTTGGAGAAATAGAGCCTTCTTTCGCACAAATTATGAAACGACACTATTGTATTCTTTACAGCCTTCAGTATGAGATAATAGACACATTGTCCAGTTAGATGACTATCCAGGCAGTCCTTATCAACTAGATAAATATTGCATCAAGTCAATAAATGCCACAGTCATATTTAACAGATACATTCATTGAGATGGTCCCATGTCACTGATTAACTAGATCCAGAAAAGTATTAAGGAAGCAAGTCTGTTTACATTTGCTGGGAGCTGGGACATAACATCAACCTGTAAATCAAGTATAGTATCATAGAGTTCTGACTCTACAAGGCTGCCCAACAAGTTTTTGGGGAAGAGGAAGCAATACTCTGTACTTTGGACTCATGTCAAAAGGATCTCTACTCTGGAAACCAGCATCCTGTCGCAGACACAAACCTGTCCACCGTTTGTATAAAAGTATTTACTGTTTAAAAAGCGGCATGATATTAATTTGTTTGTCCAATTTAGAAAAAGATGTTTGAAATAGTGTGCGTTACCTCTGAGGGGTCTGCAGTGAGGCCCAGCGCGATGTATCCGCTGGAGTCTCCCCTGAGCTCGATGGACAGCATAGTGCCGTTGGGAGCCACTGGGGCGGTGGCGACCACAGACACAAACAGACAGCTGCCTGTTCCAGCAGGATCGCAGTCATCTGGGGTCTCTACACATAGTTTATTGACTCCGCAACCTGAGCGAGTGATGTCCACCTGGTACACAAACAGAAAACTCTCAGTGGACTAAATTCTTCATGGCTATGAAAATGTTTTGTGCAGTAAATAAAGCTAAAGTCTGTTTCTAAACCGTTTCTGCCCTCTTGAGCTGTTATAATGAGTCACTAATTCTGAAGTTTTATTTGTTTTGATGGGTAAAAACGCAAACTTTATGTAAAATTGTCAACCAGAGGCTGCGTTATCTGCATATCTTTGCAGAGTCAACACCTGCATGTTTACACAGGGTGATGAGTACTACTCAGCCTGTTATATAATGTCAGAGTTGCATGATGGAAATAGGATCCAGCGTTTTTAGGATCTGGCGGCATACTAGGTACTTTACGTCAGAATATCTTGGCCTCTGGTGCATCAATTGAATAAAAATAAAACAAATCTCCTGTGAGTTTCCCCAACCTTAGGGAGGTGCTAGACTGAATTGCTGGAGTAGCCCTTTAAAAGCAGAATCACGTTCTGTTGTTTAGCAAAGTTATGCATTCAAGTATACGATTACAGCCGCTTCTTGGAAACTGACCTAAAACATGCGCAACAAACATTTAACAATAAAAAGAACTCCAAATACAGGAAATCATCAGTTAACAGCTCTAAAGACCCAGACATAAACCCTTGTATTGGTTAGCCATTACATTTCACACAAAAAAATAAAAACTGTAAAGAAGAAAAACAGCTGGTGTTTTCTCCTCTTTACTCAATTAGCCTTCAAACATGGCATTTCATTTTAAAAACAGAAAACTTCAAAGTGGAAACACATTATCTGTTTAAATTACAAAGGTCAAGCAGGTGTTGTGATGATTTACACAGAATTAAAGTGAAAGAAAACCAACCGTAGCATTGGAAGAGGACAGATGAGCTGTTCCTTGGACACTCGGAGTCACATAAACGACCAGCGCTGCAACCAACAGGGTCAATCCACGTTCCATTCTTTAAAGAAAGACAGTAAACGAACAAAAAACCCAAATAGTTATTAAAAGTGTGATTGGAGAGCCGGTCTATCATCAATACACTACAGTTTAAGTTGGAAAATCTTAATTACGCCAAAAGAAATTTAAATTCTCAGCATATTCAAAACGGATTGCATTGAATCAATTAAGCACAATTATAACAAAGCATACAAGTGTATTTCTACCTAGAAAACACATTTAGTTCACTGAAAAGATGTTGAATTATGCAAAGACAAAAAAATAAATAAATATTTAAATAACTAGCATTCCAGTTGTCTTTCAGGGGAAATTAACCTTAAATCATCGTGTTTTGAAGTGTACAAAAGTCTTTCAAATCACACAGCAAAATAGATTTCATCTAGCAATTCCCCTCAATTAAAAACAATTAAACCAATAAAAATGAGCTAAAAAGATAAAAGTATCACTCAGAGAGAACCAAGATGGAGTTTTCCTAAGAGACTTGCCTGAGCTGTGAAAGTCAAGAGTTGAGCAGGGGGAATGTTCTTTGTTCTGCAGTTTCTGCTTTTTTATATCACTGCAGGAAATGATTTAAATCAGCAAACCACCCACAGGTGATGATGCAGGAGGAGGGGGAGGGAAGGGGGATTTCTGCTCCATCCTGAAGAGGGTGTGGCTCTCAAATCACTTCCCACCTGGAAGGTGTGCGATCCAGGAACCAAACAAGCCTGTTTACTGTTCAGGGGAAATACATTTGTCATTCGCTGCACACAAAACACCTCAGTTAAGAATCGATTCTATAGTTAACTGTAGTTCAGAGTTTGGAGTATCGATTATTCATCCACTTGATGACAGATAATTTGTTATTTACTTTAAATGTAATCTGTGATCTTTTGATATACCCAAATTATGAACTATTGTCTATAAAAGTAGTATAAAGTCAAATAAAGACTCGTGGATTCTATTACAAATTTATATAATCCCAGTTTGAAATATCTTAAAATAAAAAATACATGCATTTTTACTTTTTGTAATAAGTGAAGTCACTGTTTTCCTAAACAATTCACTTGATTATCTGCACACGTTAAACATGAAGTCGGTGATTTTCGGTGATGGTTTTCATGTTGCTTTTGTCATGTTGAGGTTTATCTGTATCGGCACCAGAGACAATTTAAAGTGCTTTATATAAAGTGAATAAGTGCATTAGAAAAGAAGATTAGATCAAATAAAATACAACACAATGCAGTAGTGAAAGTAAAGAAAATGCAGAATTATACTTTTTTTTTTTTTTTACAGTGTTTACAATAACTCTCCTTCAACCAAGATGTTGTGGGTTTCTAGTGATGAGTCACTGACTCACTGATAACACATTCATTGGTTTACTGTAACTCAAACTGCACTGTGATCAGTCTTTACCTAACAGAATGAAGAGCGCATTTTCACCTGCGGTGAGCTCTGTGATCACTGATGACAGAAACTCATCTGTTACTGTAGCTTTCATTTTGCAAAATCATATTCTGCAGAACATCGTGATCAACATTCCTGTCACATCATGTTACCTGTTTGGTGTTTCCAGTAAAGGACATTTTAATTAGTTTCCTTGAGTTGCTGGATATGAACTTTACTTTTTAGTTTACATCAGAATATAAAAGACAACGCCACAAATACAACAGTATTAGGTGCAGTATTACAGCATATAAATCCACACACTTTGATGTCCTTCAATGGAGCGTTAAAGGAAATTCAATAATAAAAGTAATTAATGAAGATGCTTAAAGTTAGATAAGGTTAATTTGGAAGAAAACTGCCAACATTCAATAGATTAGACTTTTAAGGATGTGGTACTTCTTTCTGTTACACTCTGGTCAAAGTTGAGAAGCCTCTGAAACTAGATTTCACCCATTGTGGGACTCTCAACTGTCTCCTGAGACTCAAGACTGATCAAGTTTCTTTTGTCGATACCTGTTCTTTAAAGCGTGGTGTATCTCTGCTCAACAACCGGGGGGAACTATAGAAAACTAAGAATTCA